CGGCGGGCTGCCATCAGCCATCTCTGCCTCGTCAGCAGGGGCCGCTGGTTGGCACGGCTTGGCTGGACCTGTGCCCACAGGGGGCCGCGTCGCCTCAGGGGTCAGGCTTTCAGGCAGGCCCCAGCGAAATCAATCGCAACGAGCCGACACCCAAAGTTCAGATTCTGTGACTCGGAAGCCCCGAAGAAGCCTGTTGGGCTTGCAGGCAGGCTGAAGGTGGGCACGAACACGGACAGCACTTGCGGTTGGAGCATGCGCACGGGGCCAGACACTTGGCGTTTTGAGCGCTCAGCCTCCCTGCCATGTGATTAGCGGTGACGCCAACGCCATTACAAGGCGTCTGCCGCAGTGTGAGGTCCCTGGGCAGCGTGAGAGAGAACGCGGTGGTGGCGGTGGTGGCGGTGATGGGCGCGAAGGGAGCCCGAAGTCCACGGCCATGGAAATTGCGCATCTGCGACAAGACTCTGGGCACAGATCGTCGCATCCCTATCCGGGGCCTTTCGGCAAGAGCTCTGCCCCTTCCGGGTCGGGACTCAGGCAGGTTGTAATCGCACCAAGACCACGACGTGGTTTCGGAGGGCAAACGCGAACGTCCCATCCCGGGAAGCGAACTGGCTGCGATCGCCCCACAGAAATACGACCGTGCGCCGGAACAGCTGGAACTGTCAGCTGGCTCCGCCGCCCGCCCATCCTTCTGGGGTTGCCTTTCTAGGGAGGGATGCAGGATGCAGGATGCGGATTGCAGCACTCACTGAACAGGCCGGCGGCGGCCGAGCTGCGCCTCCTCGGCTCCACACCCTGCTTCTTGTTCGTCTTCGGACTCGCCTGCTGATCGCGGGGGCGCTTTTCGCCGCTCCGGGGCAGACTGCTCCTGCGGCCCTGCGCACGCCAGGATGCCGCGGCTGGCGATCTCAGCCGAAATCCGCCGGATTCTGCGAACGCAATTTCGCAGCCGGCAGGAGGGCTTCGCCGTCCTTACCTTCTTGGGGCCCATCCTGGACCTGGGCGCGGGATCTTCTGGAGGGCGCGCTGGTGTTGCGGACGTGGCGTGGCCGGGAGGCGCCGTCTTGTGGCAACCAGGGGGCAGGAACAGGCGCACAGGACTTTTCCGCGCGGTGCCAGAAACCGAGTTTCTGGACGAAGGATGAATAGTGTCGGTGTGTGCTCGCGATCCCCACGTGACGCTCCCAGTCTGACAGGATGGACACTGGGCGACCCGCGCGCAAGAGGTGGTGTGGCAGGCGAAGGCAACGAGCAGGGTGCACCAACGCAGCGAACAGGCTTTGGGCGGAGTGAGTTGGTCAAGGAAAATACCTCTGGGATGAGCCTGTAGATGTATCTGCGCGCTCATCGGCTGTTGAGTCAATCTCACCGATGGATCTCCTGGGTGTCGTCAGGCACACCTCGTGGGTGTAGAAGGCGGGCTGCGAATCCGTTTTAGGTTTGCAAATGTGGTACAAGGTTGGGGGCAAGTTGTGACTGGCCAGATGTGTCTGCTGCTGTCGTCCTTCACCAGCTCGATGGATGGAATCAGTCCTGAGGTCCATTGTGCACATTTTGCAACCCCTCTTGTGCCATTGCCGGCCAGCGGTCTTGACTTTGGCGAAACCAGTGATCAGTCGTCGGCAGCAACCTGCAGTGTTTCGCAATGAACGCCCAAGGCAATCGCAAATGCAAAAGATTCTAAAAGATTCAAATAGATAAAAGAAAAGCACAACCCCTATATGTACAATATTTGCAATCATTTGGTGAGCCTAAGAGCAAAACAGACGATTGGCCCCCTCCAAAAATGAGCAATCCAAGATAGCAACCTGGCGAAACCATTTGCAGCTGCTTCGTCCCTTGTGTATTCTAGGCAAGACATCTCGCATGCGCCCCGGCCGTCCACAACACCTCCCGCCATCTCCAAAACCAATCATGAGAACTACATATGAAACTGGCCACGCAACATCCCATGATTGTACCCCAACCAGCACTGTTGTTCATCGACGTGCAATGCTTGCCCTGCTACGATCCCACACATCGCCTCCAGCAAGAATCTGCAAACCTACATGCCCAATTCTGCCTCCAACTCGCCCAACAGGTGCCGTGACAGTCTCCTCTGCACATCCGAGTCCTCAGAACCCAGCACACCAGATGACGGCCTCTGCTGTGGCACCCCGGCCATCATCCCTGGCCCAACGGGACCAAAACTTGGGTGCTGAGGCAGCTGTGCACTGCTGCAGGCAAAGGGTCCCATTGACATGACGTGACCATTCATGTGGCCACCACAGCTGGGTCCCATGGGCCCAGGCTGCATGTTGGCAGGTGCGTGGGAAGCAAATGGCTGCGGCATCATCCGGGCCTGGTATCGCCCTTGCATCATGGCGGGGTCATGTGATGGCGTCCTGAACTCGGAGAATCCATTCTGGTGGTGTCCCCTGGATGAGCGCAGGTCGGAAATCGACTGGGGCGACATAGGCACTCCCTTTGGACCTGCCAGGTGTTCGTGAGGGGTAGCAGATATTGCTGTGCCCCTCATGTTGCCCCTGGCTGGGGTCACTGGGCCCCCTGCAGGGCCCATCTGCCACATTGCAGCAGACACCGGCAGCCCAAACCCTGCTCGCGCGGACTCCTCACCATCTGGATGCATGGGGGAGTCCAGCGTGGCAGGCAGCTGTCCAGAGAACCGAGACTCAGTTGGGGATGGTGAAGCCGACTCAGGGGCCCGATAGGCCACACCAGAGTTGCTGTGCAGAGCACCCGCATCCTGCAGGTGGGGCGGGCTGCTGAATGCCTGCGACTCGTTCTGCAGCCACCTGTTCACGACCGGCTGCCCGTTAAGGGTCGAGGACAGCGACGGCGACAGGGCTGGTGGCCCTGTGAGCCTGCTCTGATCACCAAACAGTTCGTACTGCTTGACAGGGCCTTCTGCTGCCTCTGAGGGTGCTGACCTTTCTGGAGGAAGCTGGCCATTGCCAACCGGCGAAGTTGGCGCAGCAGGGCCCATGAAGGTCGACACTGTTGGCGTGGCCTTTCCATTGTTGGGCCCCTTGCCAGCAGCTGAAGACTGTTGGGACGGAGCCACCTCTGGGGGTGGTTTGGGCAATTGCTTGGGCGCTCCTCTTCTTGCATCCTGCTGCTTCGGCTGTGCACCCTGGCTCTCCAACAGTGGTTTTCTTGCACTGCTCTTGTGCCCCCTGTCTGTGTCTGCTGTGCCCGATGACTGTGCTCCCTTTGCAGCCTGCGCTGTTGCCTGGAGGGGTGGGAATTCGGGGTCTGACATCACATAGCCCTTGTGCCTTGATCCTTGACTCCAGACCTTTGACACGGATGCTACCGATGGCGCTGAGGGTGGCGTGGGCTGGCTTGGTATCCTTGGGCTCTTCTGCTGCACCAGCAGAGTCGCTGACCGGCCAGAGCTCGTCCTTGTTATGACCTTTATGGTTGTGATCTTTCCACCTCCTCCAGACCTCTTAGCCTGCCCAACTTGCCTTCCAATGCTCTGGGAAACCACCTTGACGCTGCGGCCGCTGCTGCCTGACGTTGACCCTGGACCAGAGCCAGTCTTCTTGCCATGGCCATTTCCAACATGCTGCCAATCTGTCTCAGCCTTGGAGCTGGATGAAGCCTGGTCGGTAGAGCCCCTGCCACTGTCGTGCTTGGCCAACCGACCCCCCGCATGACGGCCTTTTAAGCCATGGTGAGCGGATGCCCACCCACTGTCATCTTCATCGACATCCTTGACGTTGTCAGAGGCTTCTGGGGCTGGCGACGGCCCTCCACAATCAGATGGTTCAGTCTCTGCTTCCTGCTGAGATGTCTCCTTGTCAGCAAGCCCCTGCAGCCGCTTGCGCACCTTTTTGGCGTACTTTGCAGACACGTCGCCCTGTGTTGCCTGCTGTATGGCAGCATCCAGCTTCTGCAGAACGTCGTGCAGGGTGTCCTCTGGTGTGGCAGCGCCGATTTCCAGGACAGTCTGCGCACAGGTGACAGCCTCCTCCAGCAGGCCTCGAATTGCTGCTTGGCTCTCTGAAGCAGCCACACCAGTTTCAACCAGTCAGTTGTCCCTACTGTGAGACCGCTCCTTTTTGACCAAGAGCAGAAGCCAACACACTTGGCACCTGCCAACAGCATCGTTGATCCATCGAAACTGTGTATTGCATGGTTGCCTGCCAACAGCATCGTTGATCCATCGAAACTGTGTATTGCATGGTTGCCTGCCAACAGCATCGTTGATCCATCGAAACTGTGTATCGCATGGTTGCCATGTAACATGCGATAGTCAGATGCACAGTGGGTCACAATACACAAGAAAAGCTCTGGACATCGGATACCACTGTAATGGCACATCCAGTTCAGATGTACTCACCATCACCATCTTCACAATCGTCCGGATCGTAGCTGTCTGTATAAGTGCCATTCTCTGCCAGCTCACGGCCACCCCCTCGCCCTCCTTCCAACATGCCATTGGCGCTCTTCCCACCTTTGCCACCACAACTGCCAGCCCCCTTCTTCAGCACACCGTTCCCATCCACCGCTTCAGAGCCACCCTTGTCGGCTGACTTGGCAACCTTGGACTTGTGTTTTCGCTTCTTTTCCCTTTTCTTTTCCTTCTTGGCAGCCTCCGCAGCCTCCTCCTCCAGCAAGGCTGCCATGTTGGCATCGGCTATTGCACTGATCAGCTCCAAGTCTTCTTCAGGCTCCTCCTTGGGTGCCACATCCATTGGATTCTTACCTGCCTTTCTTGCCAGTTCGCCTTCCAAATACACTCGTTTCAATTTCGCCTCGAGTAGTTTCTGCACAGGAGCAGCAGTTGAGGGCGTCAGTACCATCAGGCAGTGGACAACTGCCAATTGCACCACCCCTGTGTGCACTGGCGATCAACCGTACAGGCCAGAACACAAGTGCTTTAGTTCATCCACTGTTGAGTAGTTTTCCTCATCGCTTGGAAATCAGCTGTTCAACTGGAAAACTCATGAACACCTTAAATGCAAGGAGGAATCCCCATCCTTTTGGTCTGTATGCTTTTCAACAACCAACAGCTTGAGCATTACCTATGAGAGCAAAATTTCAGGTGAGTGAATGGACTTGTGACACGCCAATGAGATGTTGCTACTGCCGGAGCCAAGCAGCACTGCTGTAAAAGGCTGGGAATGCCAATATGTAAGTGGCTGCAACATGACATATCCACCTGTTGACGTGTCGTTTTCCCATGTTGCCCACACAGAACGTAGGCTGCTGTTGCGCCGTCGATGCCCTCTGCCTTTGCCCGCCAGTCGCACCCCAGACGAGCAAGGGTGAACATCATATCCTTCTTGTTGGCCATCGCTGCATGGTGCATCGGTGTGCCCCCAACGCTGTCCTTGCAGTTGATGTCCGCACCCAAGTCCACCAACTTGATCACCATAGCCCTGTCTCCACAGCCCGCAGCCAAATGCAGTGCTGTCCGACCCTGCTCCAGACATCAAGTAAGCATTTCTCAACACAGGTGAATACAGCGTACGAGTCTCTCCCCTTCAACCACAGGCCATTGGCAGGGTGATTCACGCCACTTGAGTGCTCTAAATAACACTCATCCTGGAGCCACTCCCAAAACGTCAAGTCAAAGTTGCTTAACTGTGACACTGCTCCTGGGCTGTTGCCCTGTGCTATTGTGCCTTTCAATTGTGTGGGAAATACAGGTTCACTTCAGACTTGCATCGAGTTTGGGGAAATCCTTGGCGAGTAGCCAGCACAGAAAGGAGACACAGGACACTTTTGTGTTGACACAGCACAATCAACCACAGCATCCTTTTGGAGCAAGTTTCTTTCAAATAAAAAATAAAGATGGAATCTCGCCTTGTCAGCACTTGTTCAGCACGAGTTTGCCTCAACATGATCGCGCCATCAACTGGACATGCGCTGTTTCATTGTATGCAGTCAACTTGTATCAGTCTCAGCAGGATGAACTCCCACCTCGTTGTCCTTGGCCGCGATGTACGCCCCAAGGTCGACCATCTTTTCTGCGACCGGTATGAGCCTCGACCTGTCTTGTTCCATTTGAGACAATTGTAGTGCCTCTGTCTTCTTAAGCAGCAGCTCAAGCCCCTCACGCTCCCTCTCCAGGTCCCGGTGGCTCCACCTGTCCCACTCATCATCATTGTCCCTTTCGTCAGAGCTCCATTTCTGGTCATGCAACAAGTCCGAGCCAAACAGCATGCTCCCTGCGCGCCGGGAACGCGTTGCTTTCCGCAGCAGGCTCATCAATTCCGCTCCCTTCCAGTTGTGGCTGGGGCGACCTGGCGTCGTCTCGTCCAGATCGCCAAAGTACATACTGGAGAGAGCATCTGAAGTGCCTTCAAACCAAAGATCCAGATGTCGTGTCAAAACAAGAAAGCTCGAATTTATACATCTGGTGCAAGGAAATCTAAGGCTGCATCCACAACTGAGCCAGTGGAGAATGCAAGGTTTTGCGGGTGTGTCATAACAAGTATCTAATGATGCCTGCACGAATAGCAGATACAGCCTCAAACAGGCTGCAATGCATTGTGGGTCCTGTAACAACTCATGTTGCTGGTTGACTGAATAGCATGGGAGCACTAACGCAAATGCAAAGCGATGCATTAAGGATTGCAGCAGGCCTGACATTCGCCAGACATCAGGATGGCCTTCATGCCACAAGCAAGGTTGATGTTTCCAAGCAGCTGGAATACAGCACTTCAGTTGCCGATGCCCTGCCCAGCAGTAACAGGTAGGTACAGGTCATTGCTTAGCGTCCTTTGGCTGATGCACTGGAAAGGATTATAAACAAAGGAATGCTACAAGGTCAACACTGTAGACTACGACCTCTATTTGAAGCGCTGGAGCCACTGACTCACCCAGTGTTGCCCATGCAAAGCCAGTGCGAACTGGTACCATCCCTCCATTAGCGGCCGCACTGCTTCCAGATCCTTGGGGCAGAACAGCAGACGACAAGCCAGACTTTCTGAGCGACAGGCTGCCAAGCTGGGAGTTCAGCCCCTACAAGAGTGCAATGAAGACTCCTTGGTCAATATTGCCACGCAAGCAGGCATATCTGCAGATGCCAGAAAATTGGGCTGTCTCTCAGAGGCGTCTTCTAACATATTTCTTTCAGTGTAGAGTGAACAGACAGCTTTCTGCATGAACAGGAAGACCATGTGCACACAGGTAACACCTCTGTCTGCAAAGCACTGACATGACGCACTGAAGCGCCCTTTCACCTTCCAAAGTGACAACAGACAGAACACACCAGCTCCTAATTAGAGCAAGATGAAAGTAGGCACACACAAACACACCCCATAGTCCCTGTTGGACTGGTTGTGGTGGGTATTTGAGAGCAGCTGCCCAACCTTTGCAGTGGTGCCATCCGCCATGCCAGGTGGTACTGCCGCCAGCGCCGAGTACGTCCCATGTGCTGTGTTCTGTAGTGGGGTGCAGTCAGACATGTCCCTGCAGTTGAGGTCTCCCCCGAGCTCCACCAGCTTGACCACAGCATCCAAAAAGCCGCAGCCAGCAGCCAAGTGGAGCGGGGAATTCTGGGCATTGTCACGACTGTGTATGTCACAGCCACCCTGCAATCAGAAGAGCACAAATAAGAGTACATCTGGTGGTCCAACGCTGTTGGTGGCAGCTGTTCGAGGTCAAGGCTTTTCAGAAAGAGCAACCCTTGCTGCATGCCTACAGAAACAGGCATGGGTAAGCAGAGCCTGCCACTTGTCAGAAACTGGTGCCCAGCTGCATCGCAATGAGCATCCTCTAAACAAAGAACCCCACAATATTGGCGGGTGAATGGGCCCCCCATACCAAAACACCTTCAAAATGCCAATACCCACAACCAGCAAGTGAACAGTCGACAAGGCCTGGCCAACCAATCCCCTGGCAAATGTCCTACCTTGACTAGAGTCTCAAGGACCTGGGACTGTCCAAAGGCTGCCGCATAGTGAAGCGGGGTGCTACCATCTTTGGTGCGGGCACAAACACCGACACCACAGTTGATGAGCTTCTGCACAATGTCCAGCCTCCCTGCCCTGGCCGCGATGTGCAGAGGTGTCTCCAGATTCTTGTTTTCCGTTACAGCCTTAACGTCAGCCTTCAACTCCACCAACAGTCCCAAGACATCAACATTGGCAGGGCCCTTACAGAGCAGCAGCATCAAGAGTGTTTCAATCCAACAGTCACAGGGTATAAAAGTGGCAACGCACTTGTGCATAAATGTTCAAGGAGATGATTGACGTGGGGTGGGGATGGCTCACCACAGGTCAACAGCAACAGCTGCTACTTTCAGGGACCAAGTGAGCTACATCAACTGCACCCTACCAGGTGTCAGCTGCTGGTGGTGATCCAGCATAAGGGCAGCATGGTTGCGTGCGATTTACAGAAGGCACTCGCTAAATCGCTGTCATGCTCTGCATCAAGCCTTGAACAGAGCTGCATGGAACCTCCCACAGAAAGCAGAAGGCGTGACACAGGACAGACAAGCACCTGCTACCACCAACAAAGAACTCTACATGTTGCGTTCCACAACAGCAAAGGTGATGGACTCTGGTTCAAAAGCTGCACATGCCCAGCTGGGAAAACGTGCACAGGCAGGCATCATGAAGTCCAAACTGACGGTGAAACGCAGTACTATATTCAACACAGATTGCCGCCCAGTGCTCAACCACCACTGTACACTATACCTTCATTGTGGCAAGTTGCAGGCATGTCCATCCTTTTGCCGTTTTGGCTTCTGTGTCTGCACCCAGCTCCACGAGCTTGGCCACTGCCTCGCACTGGCCAGCATCAGCCGCCAAGTGAAGGGGCGTGTAGCCCCCCCTTGTGTCCTTCTCATGCAGTGAGGCGCCCAGCTGTACAAGCTCCTCAATCGCCGCAGCCCTCCCGTGCAGGGCAGCATAGTGCAAAGGCGTCCGACCAAGGTAGTCTCTCACATCGACACTGTGTTTCAGCTCGACCAGCTTTTGGATCGCCCCCACCCAGCCCCAATTGGCAGCTGAATGCAGAGGGGTGAATTGGTATGTGTCCCTGCAAATATGCACACGTCAAGACCCTGGAGCTCTTTCAGCATCTACTGAGAGATACAAGAGCACAAATCTGCCCTGAAAGGCATTGAAATCGAAATCGTGCACTCCACTACAACCTTTTCCCAGGAGAACAGAAAATGGTGACAACTGGGTCGCATGGACATGAGGCTGCTGCACAAAGAGCAACCCGGAATTCTCTTGCCATTGCTCAACCCTAGCTGCAGGGTAGCAAGGGTCCACATCACTACGCGTGGCCACCAGAAAACCCTGGAAATGCCCCACGATATGTGGAACAACGCTTTCTCACAATGTGGGTCACTGTCACTCTGCACAACCTCAAACACCTCATTCATTGCAGACCGCTGTGTGACAGATCAATAACGAACACCTGCAGCAACTGCTTGGGCAATACCAGCTTTTAGTACAACAGAGAAGCAGATTTGGAACCTCACAAGCCAGCCCAGGCCACACCTGCTGTCCACTATGCTGTCCAGCTCCTTCACAAGCACCTCCAACAAATCCACCCATCCCTGTTCAGCCGCCACATGCACTGCCGTCCGGCCCTCCTCACTCTGCGCCCAAGATGGACAGCCCAGCCTGTGCAGCTCCCTCACCACATCTATCCTGTTCCAGGCCGCTGCACAATAAAGCGGTGTGCAGCCGTCGCGGTCCTTGACAGCAGGGTCACATCCCAACTCTATCAATTTCAAAACGGCCTCCATGTGACCCTCTCCACAGGCAACGTGCAGGGGTGTCGATCCAACAGAGTCCCGAACGTCCACCTTGGCGCCTAATCGCACCAGAGCCTCAATGGATGCAACCTGTGGCACAGGGCAGGTATAGATGTTGGACACGGGTGTCAACCCTGAACATGATAGCCGCACAAGTTGCCCATCTTTCATCTTCTAGGTGACAGGGCAGCGTTTTTCTGGGCAGGTACACCAGAACATGCACAAGGTGGCCTCCTGGCAGGCCACACCTTGAACTATCACCAGAATAGAAGGGGTGATCGGAAAGGGACGCATCAAGTCTGGAACCAGGATGCTTTTCGCCATCAGCTGCTGCAACAAGAAGCACGTTCACGAGCCAGCTCAGCCAATATGCAAAGATGAAGCATCTTGTGCAAAACAACACCATGGTATGCTTCACCTTGCCCTGCATTTGACTAAGATGGTTGGGCACATTTCTTGTGAGTTTGTGGTGAGATCTTCATTGCAGTATCGAGAAGAAGGGGCTTTCAAACCCGGGAGGGCATGGTTCCCATGGACACCCACCTGGTTATATGCTGCAGCATAGTGCAACGGTGTCCAAGAATTTGCACTTTGGCAGTGCACATCGCAATTAAACTTCATCACCAAATTCTCAATGTGTGGCACCCGACCCTCCACAGCCGCCAGGTGCAGCACTGACCACCCCAAAATTTGCTGCACTGCCGCCAGACTGGGTGTGCTGGCTGCATCTTCTTGACTCAGCTGCAGGGCATTGTGGTTGCAGCCATCAGAGGTGGCCAAGTCCCAGCCAAGGTGCAGGAAGCCCATGAAGTCCTGCATGCAGCCGCGCCTTGCAACTTCGTGCAGTGGTGTGCACCCCGTGGTGTCTTTGAGCAGTGCATCGATAAGCATGGATATAAGCCTCACCTGCAGGCAAAGGTCCATTGTGCACATTGAAACAAATGGCTAGCAACAAGGATGTGTGCACACTCACCAGTGCGCTGGGCCAGTGACAAGCTGACAAACTGGTAGTTGTTTCCCAACTTGCTTAATAAACTGATGAAAATTAGCTCTTCACCGCCACTATGGAATTGGCCACCTTTCTTTCTGTCCCCATTTTCCCAGATGTCTGCAAACAGAGTTGGCCCTTAGGACCGGAAATGCAATCATCTGGCACAGCACACATCCACATGCTCCGGCTGGCCTCGCCTGTTGTTATGCCTCTGGGACAAATTCTGTTCGTTGCTGAGAGGTGCGCTACATTGCATACAACAGGCCTTCTTGACAGAACATGCATTCATTGACGTGCATGTCATGCGACAACTCAACGCAAACGCCTGTCAAATCACAGCTTGAGTCTCTCTTTCTGCCTGCATCTTTTCTTTGAAACCTTGATGTGGACAAAGCTGGCCCCAATCTAAGGACAGGTTCCCAGGTTGTGCATAAACTGGATCTATGCTAGCAAGGGAGAGTGACACAATGCTGTTGTGAGTTAAACCACGACAAGTATCTGACACACAACAGCACATACGCAGCCCCATATTAGTGTGTTCCAATGGCAGTGCCCCCTCTGCACTTCTGACATGGCCGTTGCAATGGCACCACGCCATAGATGCAAGGCAGCCTTGCTCACTTGATTCTGAACTGCAGCCAAGTGCACAGGCGTGCAGCTGAGGATGTCCCTGGACAGCAACACAGCTGGGCCCCCATGGTCCAGCAGTAGGGATATGATTCCTAGGTGGCCCCGCATGACAGCTAGGTGCAGTGGTGTCCTCCCCTCCGCATCCCGTGCAGTCACGTCGGCACCCTGCTGCAAAAGGCACAGCACCTCCTCCTCGTTGCCCCTCCTCGCTGCTTTGTGCAGCCCCGTGGATTTGTGTCCAGTCGTGCTGAATGCCATGTTGAAGCACCTGTGACACAGGCGGCAAACCAGCTCACATCACACTGCAATACTGTGGCAGGTAGGGTACAGAATGGGCCGCAGAGACGTCACCTGTCAGCAGAAGGACCGCAGCAACTGCTGCCGGCGCTCCCTGCCCTGGCTGGGTGACCAAGTGCTGCCCCTCCCCCCCCCCTCTCTAAGACCAATGCCAGGGGGGTTGCAGTCACATCGTCTGTACATGGCCCGAAAATCCTGCCACAAGTGGCTTCGAATCCAGGCGCATGTGCCACCAAAAGCAGATCAGCAGCCCGGCCGATCGCTCTGCAGCCTTAAGCCGCCCCGGGCCGGCAATGCAGCGCCCCAGGGGCGCGCCCCCTGCCAGCCCAAAAAAGGCGCGCGCAGGGCCATCCCTTCAGCCCCCGCCGCTCCCCACCTCGCCGCTGCCCGGCCACCCAGCACCGCCCGAGAACGCCATGCGGGACCGCGCCGCACCACAGGCGCCGCGAGGCCCCCTCCCGGCCTCCAATCCGACCTTAGCCGACAGCAACGAGGCAGAGGAGCCAAGTCCCTCAGCTCGCTCCCCAGGCGCCCAGACTGGCGACCCGGCCAAGTCCGCCACCGCCCTTCACAAGGGCGCTCCAGCGCCACCGGCCGCCCCTTTGGCCGGGGCCCTAGCCACTGGCGGCCCCCCGTTCCACCCAACCCCGGTCCCCGCGACGGGCACCTTCAGCGCACCCTGCAGGGGCGAAATCCCACCCACTTTCCGCCGCAGCGCAAACTTGCTCATGTCGCCACGATTCAAAAACGCGCCGCGCGGCCCCCCTTGGATCCCGCACGCGTGCATTGGCGGCCAGCCCGCCGGTGGCGTGGCCGGCCGCGGTGATTGGGGCCGGAGGCAACGCGGCAGGGCGGTCATTGCGGCTCCTCCCGCCTCGCGCGCCGGCCTCACCTCCGCGTCCGAAGATCTTGGCGGCCGCCGCGGCTGGCCGGGGGCTGGCGACCCGGCGCGCCGTGCCCGCGGGGCGTGTCGGCACCTCGCAAGTTTCAACGGCAGCAGTGGGGGCCGTATGTGCGCCAGATTTGCCCCACCCGCAAAATAGGGTTTGGAAATCTCAGCGACGCGGCCCGAAAATGTTGGGCCGAAGCGCCAGTGGGGGAGGGCGGAGCCTGCGAAAATGTGAGCCCTGGAAGAGATCCCGTCACGTGGCCTGCAGACGTCATGCAGCCGCGCTTGGTGGACGCCAGCGTGGTCGTCGGGTCTGCAACTGCCTTGTGACGCTCTGGCGACAGGAACGCTGCTTGCTGCCTTAGCCACTGGGTGGAGGGGCTTGTGCAAGGGGGGGTGGGGGCAGGAAGTGTGCTGGCTCCTCGTGGCTCCTTCCCATTGTTGAACATAAAAAATGGGCGCATAGATCGAATGGTCGAAGTGGTGGGGGGGGCATTGCGTTGAAAAATTGTTGCATCTGGAGATTTGCTGGCTCTTGAATCATAAACGCTGGCATATTGTCAATTGGGTTTAACGCTGCACGAGTTGGCATCCTTCCCTTCGGTGCAAAGCGCTCCCAGGAGCGGGGAACAAGCAACCAAAGTGGATCTCAAAAATGTACGCAGCAGAACTCGAGTCCGAGCCTGACATTTCGCCACTTGATCATTCTGCTGCTGGCCAATTGAAGTGTTCAAAACAATGTACACATCCCATGCACTGTCCAACAAAGATAAGATATTGCATTTCACCTCGTCGATCAACAACGATCATGCTGACGACGCACACCAATTGTGACGACGCAGAAGCATTGTACTGGGTATTGGGTATACCCTATTCACCAGTGTTAGATAATGTCAGTTAATGCCATTAACGCATCAGCATGCCTCCCACGTTGTCCACAAGCGCATCAATTGATAGCCATTGCAACGACCTAGGTGCCTCAAGGGCTGTCATCGCTGCACGAACACGCCCCGTTTCTTTCCACATGCAGACCGGCTCCGGTCACCGCCAGCGATGGCTGGCAGCTCCCCATCACTGCCGAGGACTACAGGCAAGGACCCCTAATTTCTTTAGGTGTGCAGAATGATCCACGCTCTGCAACAGTCCCCGCAGGGCGGAACAGCGATGGTACAATTGCCGCACTGGGGACGTCGCCGCACGGACTATATTGAGAATGGTACCCTGCCCAGCACCGGTGCTGTGCACAATGCCCCGTCGGCCCTATGTGGGCTGATCATGTAGCCATGACCTTGAGGCTTACTTCTAAGTTGATGGGTGAAATCGTTTTAAATCGGTATTTTTAGATCGACACACCACGTTCCCAGGGGGGTGTGTTCGGTGAAGAAGAAGGGTGTGCTGTCTGATCGATCGATCCCGCGATATCGTAGGAGTATCGCACATGGAAGCCGGCACGCATGCCCCCGGCTTCGGAGCCGGTCATGAAAAACATCGCACGGGAACTTCTCGATTCGCCCGCCGCGTTGCAGCGTCCACAATTGTGGATATGTGATATTGACGCTCGCCGTAACATTTTGTCAATTTTGTTGTACTTGCAATGCGATTACAACAGATATATGTTTCTGAACTGTGATGCAGGCTCCCTCCTGCTACACTCGGAGACATTGCATTTATTTTGCTGTAAGGAAGCTCAAAACACCGTCACCAGCTGGTCCATCCTGCATCGTCACATTCTGCAGGATATGCGTGAAAAATCGAACAGAAGAACCAAGAAACAAAAACTTGCAACATGACAATTTCGCAGCGAATTTATTTTTTAAAGAGGGACAAAAGATGTCTTTGGTTTTTGCCGACATCATCGCTGTGGGTTTCTCGTATCTTTTCAGGCCAACTATGTAGTTGAAAGGTATACCTTTCACAGAGTTTGGGCGGTAATGAGCACCGCGACATGGAGGGCAGCAAGCAGGCCTGTTATTCATGGCGTAAGCGTTCGCGTACTTATGCATAGAAGTAACTTTACGCTCTTATGCGTAAACAGGCGTAATGCGCAAAAATGGGCGCTGTGCACTAAAAGACAGTACATACACAAACTCAGGGAGTCCGGGGAGTAGCAGGTAGACGCTCTGAAGTGTGCAGAAAACGACCTTTTGTTCGACAACGTCGTTGCCGTTGCCGAGGGCGAGGTGGACGCTGTGTTGCCGGTGCTCAAGCGGGTGGAGGACTGATCATAGTGTGGGACATCACTGGGTACCCTGGGTATGTCGGCGAGCCATAGAAAAATGCGCAAATGTGGCCGTTTCCCTATTTACGCGTTTTTACATGTAAAAACGTAAAACGCAAAACTGGTGCCGTGAACACAAATAGCAAGCCTGGAAGCAAGTAACCAACAAACAGAGATTGTCGGATGAGCAGGAGATTCTTCAAAGCATGCCGAGACGAAAGAACGGAGCGAGAAGGAAACGATTTGGCAGGCTTCTGAAAACCCTCTATGTTTTCCAGGCATGCCAAGTTGGCCTCAAAAGCCTTGATACTGCACCTTACGGAGCGTTTTCTTCTCCGAGAAACAGCGATCATCCATTTGTGGCGCAGAGTGCCACAGCTCCCCGCACCTGAGGCCAGCCGGTCCTGGCGCACCAGCGACGCGCACCCCCGTGAGGCCCCCCATTGCCGCATTGCTGGAGCCCCGTCAACCAGCGGCAGGCCCCCAGCCCAAAGGCATAAAATTACTCCCTGCATCAAATCGGTGACTGCTTGCACGAAAACGGTGATTGCTTGCACCAAGTCACGTGCACATCGTGTCCAACTCCGTCAAAACTAACCTAACCTAAAACCTGAACCCTAAAACCTAAACCTAAGCCTGCCCTAACCCTAACCCTAACCCTAAAACTCACCCTGAACTAAACCTAACCCTAAAACTGAGGCTAGGACAAAGTGTGCACGTGACTTGGTGTAAGCAGTCACCGATTTGGTGCAGGCAGTAAGTATTATTTCCAATTTGGGCCTGTGCGCAGCTGCGCGGCTTCAGTGTCCAGATACGCCTCCCCAGTTGCACAGCATCTCCTGCCGCCCCTCGCAGGTGTCACACCGGCCTCTGCACCTGGACCATAAGAGGCCCTACCCCCGCCTAGGCCTTTCCGCCTTTCTTCCCAGGCCGTGTTTGCCTCGAGCACGGCCCGGCCAAGGGGCTAATAACCGCCCCGCGGCCGGCTGGCCACGCCCTCGTGCAGGAAGGCATGCTGCCTGCTGCCGGTCTGCGGCGGACTGCATCAGTCCCGCTCCGCCCGGGCGCCTGGCGGCCGGCGGGAGATCGTCCCACGTCGTTGCCACAGCCCCGCGAGGCGAGGAGCGGCGGAGAGTTGTCCAGGGCGAGATCCGAAGGCATCTCAGCCGGGTGAGGCAGCTGCCGCTGGTGAAAACTCTGCAACGATGGAGTTGTGCGCTTCACGTTGGTGCGCGCGGTGTTTCCTTGCTTTCGATTACTGGATCCACGTTGCCATGTTTAGGCGCCGGGGCGCGCCCAATTGGTTTGCCACTGGACGTGCCTGCCTTGGCTTCGGAATGCCGTTGCGACCGCTGAAGGCGTCAGCCTTGTCTTCACATCGCCTGAAGGCCCTATCCTGCATGCGTTGCCGTCCGATGCACGGCAATTGCCTAACAGGACTCCCAATGCTCCGCCGCCACGCCCTCGCTATCTCGACCATCACGCAACGCGCAAGAGCTGGCCAACGCCCGGGCCACGGTATGCGACCAGGTGTCTTGCCCGGATTTTCTTCTGCGGCAAAGAACGGCTTCCAGCATAGCGCTGTCGCTCCAATGTACGCGCTTGCCCGTCTAAAGGGGATTCCTTAACCAACTTTTGGAGCCGCGGGGCTGTTCCTTCGTATCTCCACGACCGTGTCGCAGTGCGCGCGTTGCGAACGGCAAGGAAGGCAGTCACCGCTGGCTGCGCGGCAGCACACCATGTTGATTCCGGCTGGGGCCAGCCGCACGGTGTGATGGTATCGGCGTGCACGGATATGACGCGCGTCGTGGGGAACCAAGGGAATTCTGCAAGCATATTCTGCAACTCGGTGATGCCCAAGCTGTCAATCAGCAACAGACAGCGCCAAGTACGACAGGCAGCTGTGAGGATGGCGTCCATCGTCGATTACCGGAAAATTGCAAACATCCGATGCTTCGCATGTCCTGGCCCACGTCGAACCAGTGATTGTTCACCAGAGCTTACGTTTACTGTTTGGGGAACAGAGCCGTTGCTTACTTTCGCGGCACCATCTCCACATCTTCAATGTGTGAATTTAACACTGTGAAAACATGCAGCATACCGCAAGCCCCTATTGACAGCCCTCATCTACATAGTTCCAGTAGTTCAATGACACGCGTGAGCCTCAGCGGCGTGATCAGATAGGGCATTTTCACCCATACCTGCGAGCAAAATAGAAAACCATATTCTGCTGAATTGGGCACA